CTCCCCTTACTCCTGCAGTACCCCCAAAAGAAAAAATTTAAAAAAATAAAATAAAATAAACAAAAAAATAGGCACAAAAAATCCCAAGAAATTAAAACAAAACAACAGAAAAAAAACTCTTGGCTTCTCTTCCTTCCCCTTCTCTCCAATACCTCCTCATTTGTCCTGGTGGCATCGGGAGCAGTATGCCACATGATACACCTTTTGTCCAATCAGCTTTAGAAGCAAATGTTCATAGCAACGAGTGGTTGGTCTGGATCAAGGGCTCTGGTTTCTGGTACACCGTCTTCACTGGATCCTCACCAGAACTCCTCTGAGCTACCCAAGGACTGCCCAATCATGCAGAGACATTGAGTTTTGTTTACACCTACACATCATAGTCCATTACTGAAGGAAGTCAGGGCAGGAGCTCAAACAAGGCAGGAGCCTGGAGGCAGGCGCTGAAGCAGAGGCCATGGAGGAGTGCTGCTTCCTGGCTTGCTCATCATGGCTTGCTCAGCCTGCTTTCTTACAGAACCCAGAACCACCAGCCCAGGGGTGGCACCACACAGAGTGGGCTGGGCTCTTCCACATGAATCACTAATTAAGAAAACGTCCTACAGGCCTGCCTATTGCCCCATCTTATTTTCTCAATTGGGGTTCTCCCTTCTCAGATGGCTTTAGCTTGTGCCAAGTTAGCATAAAGTTAGGCAGCATGCTAAGCAAGCCCTTACCAACTGAGCTACATCTCCAGCCCAGGATTTATGTTTTAATAAAAAAAAAAAAACAAGCAATGGGTTTTATTTTGACATCTTGAAACATACTTTGCCCTTATTTGTCTTCTTCCCCACGGTTCCTCTTTTCTCCTTCAGCCTTCATGTCCCACGTGTTCTAATTACCCCCTCCTTTTCCCACAACCACAAAACTGCTTCTTCCACTCCCATGGTTCCTAGGTTCTTTATCCTCCACACAACAGATATGATGAGAAGTCAAGCACAGGGCAATTGATTCCTAAGCAAAACATAAAATGTCCATGTTTTATTTATTCATTGTATGTGTCTGGATGATTAAAGCATGCATGCATGTCTATGCAACTTGTGTGCCCGGCATCTGAAGAAGGCACTGGGCATTCCTGGGAATGGAGTTACAGACAGTTGTGAGACAGTGTGTGGATGCTGGAAATCAAACCCAAATTTATAGGTAAACATTAGCCCGAGGCGAACACACCCCCTAAGGGGTGGGACTTATCCCTACATCTCCCCTTTTTGTCTAAATAAGACAGAACTAAACCAAATACAACTATATACAATAATAACAAATAATAAATATAACAAACAATATTGAGAACAAAAGTTTTGCTAAACATTCTACCTCAAGGAGTCTAAATATGTAGAGAGTAACTACAATTATATAATCTTCAACTCCGTCAAAGATCTGAGAAGGGAATAAATATTACTTAACAAATGAGATAGATCCAAAATGTGCAACAATTGACAGAGACAACTGACTACCTGGGCAATCACCCAAAGTTTCGTTTGCAATGTTGAGTCAACCAACTTTGGCAGCAATCTGTACAGATGGTCCTCATTCCCATAAGAAAACAGGCTGAGAAAGCCATAGGGAACAGGCCAATAAGAAGTAATGCTCCTTGGCCTCGCTCTCTCTCTCTCTCTCTCTCTCTCTCTCTCTCTCTCTCTCTCTGTCTGTGTGTGTGTGTGTGTGTGTGTGTGTGTTTGTATGTGTATTTGTGAAAGACAAGAAAGATATGTAGAGGTCAGAGACACCATCTGGGAGTTGGTTTAAATCTCCTATCATGGATTCCAGAAATGGAATTCAGGTTATCAGACTTGTATGGAATATGGTCCTAGGTGCAGAGCCATTTCAATGGCCCTTTCCCCATGTTTTCTTTCCATTAAAAAATAAAAACAAGTGTTTTTTTTTATATTTCTCTCCCTCCCTAAATAAGCAAATGCTTGTAAAATGCTAGCTAGTAAGGAAAACGTAGGGCTGTGCATGAGCTTGGGGGTAGTGTGAGCTTGCCTCATACATGGGTCCAGAAGAAATCATTATATATTCCCTGCTCTTTGATTTATTCTCATGTGTTGTATATAACCATATATAGGCCTATAGGGAATTTTCTTCAGAATTTAAGATTTCTTATAACTTAACACTAGAATGACAGCCCAGTGAAACAGAGGGCAATAAATGGAAATGAAGAGAAATTTTGTTAGTATTCAGGCACACCCTCACACAGCACCTCACACCATCTGCCTGGCTGTATAGCAAATGGTATCCTGTCCCTTTAAGAGACCCTCCGTTCACTCTCAGTCTCTCTAGTGCTCTCCCTCCCTTCCTCCCTCTCTCCCTTCCCTCTCTCTCTTCTTCTCTTTTTACCCCACTGAGGAAAGCAGGTCTCAGCCTCTTTTCCTTCTCCCTCCTCCCTCTCTCTCTGTTTCTCTTTCTCTCTGTCTTTTCCTCCCATCCCTTCCACACCACTACACCGCCCCTTTTAATAAAACTTTGCACCCATTCTTCATCTACATGGCATATTTGTCTGTCCCTTACCAGCCGCGGGTTGAACCTCACCCACATGCCATGGGACCTGGAAAGATTTCCAAATGTCCCACTGGCACACTGGAAGATGTTCAACACCATCAGCCGTCAAGTGTTGCAAATCAAATTTCAATGAGATGATACTTGATATCATTAAGATTGTGAAAATACAAAAGATAAGTCAGTCCTGGTTTCACAGCTCTGCAATCCCAGAACTTGGTAGAGGAGTGTGTGTGTGTGTGTGTGTGTGTGTGTGTGTGTGTGTGGTGTCTATCATATATGAGTTTGAAGCTGGACAGCAAAATATGGTCTAAGAATTGAAAAGTATATGTTGCATGCTGAGGATATAAGTCACAGGGAAGGCACTTGTCTAGCATGCACAGGTGCTGGGACATATGTGAGAGTGTAAACATACCAGAGAACAGGAACCTGCTACATTACTGCTGGTGCAACTACCAGCAACTGAGCGTTTATATATAGAAAAAAAGGAGATACCCCAATTACCTACTGCTTGATGAGTAGGTAAACAAAGGGTGGTGTGTTAATACAGTGGTCTAGTTTCTAGTCATGGAAAGGGGTAGAGAAAGGATACATCCTATAACATGAATAAATATCACAAATATTAAGTTCATTTGAAAGTAGCCAAAGGACTGAAGAATGGGACACTTCTTTATTAGATGATTTGATTTCTCTTTAATACCCAGAATGAGACACTTGAAACAGAAAGTTAGATTGGTAACTAATAGGTGGTGGGGGTCTGGAGAAATGAAGAGTAACTGCTAATGAATAAAGTGACTTTTCTCAAATGACAAATTATTTTAAAAGCAAATAGAATAATGGTTGCGTTATTGTAAGAACATAGTAAAAAATACCTACTGGGTTATATACTTTAAAAGAGTAAACTTACTACATAAATGTATTACTTCTCAATATCTACAGATCACATTTCATGTCTATGTTTTGTCTGCATATATGTATGTTCACTGTGTGCATGTCTGGTGCCTGCAAAGAGACAAGAGGGTGTTGGATCCCCTAGATATAAATATCTGTGAGCTTCCTTCCATTTGGGTGTGGTTGTAGGTTGAAGATTTTGTGCTGAGAGGTAATGAGGACTACTTTTCTCCTCCAGGGGCATGTAGAGTACCTTCCAGTACAGTGAACTGTGGTTAGTAGGTGAATAATGTAGTTAGACACCAGCTCAACGTCTCCATATTCAGTGATAGAAGTGTTCCCTTCAGAAACAAGACCTTACCATCAGCTTGTGTGAGCAACCAAGAGCCTTGGCAATAGCCTGTGCTATTTGGTGGTTTCCATGGGTCCCTTTGGTGAATGACTCAACAGGCTGTAACCTGTTCCTGGCACTGGAGGTTTAATTTGGTGGCACAAGATATCTAGTTGAAGTCTTCTCTCCCCTGTTGTTTTTTGTCTCACTGTGGGTTCCTTTCACATATGTAAAGGAAGATTCTAGGATAGTCAGTGTCCATATAGTTTTTCAAAGGACCTTTAGTATTGGTTGTCCCTCTCCATTTTCCTTCCTTTACTTTTCTGTCCCATCCCCCTTTCATTAAACCATCCAATTCTAGTTTTCCTTAATAGCTAAATAACACTATAGACTTTTTTCTTTCCTTTCCTCTCCTTCCTCCTGGTCCCTTACTAGGTTCCATACCTCTGTGGGTATTCAGATTGAAGTTCCCATATCAGAACCATAAAATCCTTAAAAGAGAAAACATACAATATTTGTCTACATGTACTGAGCACTGTATGCTTTTGACGCTGAAGTCTGACATGGGCACACACAGAACACAACCTCGGTGCACAGCTGCTGAGTACCATTGTGAGCTCATAGCGCATCACTATGCCCCTAGAACTGTGTTGCTAAGGGTGAATCAGAATTCAGCTCACACTGAACTAAGGATCTGCCCAAGCAGGACGCTTATTTGGTTCAGTGGGGAATTTTAACCAGATTTTGAACGTTTACTACTGGTTTTGGGAGGGTGGGGGTGGTTAAAGGGGAAGGAAGGGAGGGGCAGTAGGCCCGGGAGGGCCAGGAGGGCCGGGAGGGCCGGGAGGGCAAGGAGGGCTGGTGGGGGCGGGGTTGTTGGGAGGGCCAGGAGGGCCTGTAGAGCCTTAACATGCAGGAAGATATGGAGTATGATGCCCTAACCATTCGGGCCCCTCAGCGGTCTCCCTGGTATACCCACCTGTGGCCCGCATGCCTGGGTCGTGGGTGCTTGGGTAGAAGACAGCAGCGATTTCCTTTGTACCTAATTGGGTACGATCCCGTGGGCCGATTACAAAGGGCGGCCAGTGTGGGTGATGTCAAATTAGTCGAGAGATTGATCAATGCCAGGGAACACCGTGTTAACGAGTGCGACAGAAGGAGCAGGTAATGGGGCCTGAGGAGGGGCGAGGGGCAGGAGGGGCAGAAACTGTTGGGGACAGTCAGGGTCTACTAGGGAGAAACATACCTTCCAGATCTGCAGCCTGTGGGAGGGCAGATGTCATGCTTAAGGCTCTTCTTTCATGGAGACCTCTGGGTTTGTACCTGCTTTAAGCTCCTAGGCACCTGAAACCTGCACACCTTGGAAGGGCAGCTCCGAGGCTTTCTTTAAGAGAAGCAAAACAAAGAACTTCAGTTAGTTTACAAATCCCTTTACATTGTCTCTTTTAGAGCACTTTACTGAGGGCTTTAAAGGAATTTAGCTAAGGAAACCACATACATCTTTTTATGTGTACACTTATAATGTTTTAGGTTTGAGTGTTTTGGCTGCATGTATTTTCAGTGTACCACACAAGCATAGGAAGAGGGTGTTGGATCTCCTGGAACTGGGGTCATGGACAGTTGTGATCTGCTGTGTGGGTACTAGGAATCAAACCCAGGTCCTCTGCAGGAAAAACTAGAGCTTGTAAATGCCAAGCCATCTCTCCAGCCCTTTAATGTATATGTTTTAATGCTATGTTATATGCAACACAGAAAATTGTATCATAAGATAAATTTTCACATAAAAAGCCAACTCATAGCCAAAAAAACCCCAAAGAATTAACAAGAAATCTTATGTCTGTTTTATGCTTGCTGAGGGATTTCATAAGGAAATTTTCAACTTGAACTATAACTCTGTCCCCCGGCCCCTTATATACATGTTGTGTGTGTTTTGGTAAATACTAGAAGGCTAACGGTTGACATTCTCTTTGAAAATTTCTTTTCATCTCATTAAAAAAAAATCATATGTGTGTATGCACCTGTGCCTCACACATGCCAAGCAAGTGTCTGAAGGTCAGAAGAGAACTATCGACAGCTGTGTTCTGCCACGTTGTGGATTCTGGGGATTGAACATAGGCCATTGGCTCTGCCAGTAGGTGCCCTCACCTAATGAACCACCCTGTGGTTTCTCCACCTCAGCTTTTTAGACAGATTCTCTCACCCAAATCCCTGCTGTGTTTGACTGATTGTCTTGGAGTATACTGATTGACCTAGACTTGCTGGCAAAATAGATTTGGGGATCCTCCTTTATCCACATCTCCAGCACCAGTTTCTCAAGGTGCTGGGGATTCTGAAGTTGGGGTCTCAGGCTTGCAGGGTGAGTGATTTTCCAACTGAGTTGTAACAATCACTGCAGCCCTCTTTCCTAGTCCTTGATTCCTGTTTTTCACTAGATTATAGGCAGGAAACAATGACCCTCAACAGTAGATTCTCCATAGCTCACATGCTTCTTGATCATGTCTGTAGTTGTGAGGTTATTTAGTCTATAGTTATTCAGTCTTCCAAATTAGAGCTTCATACAAATAATAGAACAGTAAATTATTGTTTCAAAGTATTTTTGCTTAATATGTGTATTCTTTAGAAACACTGAATTTTCCAGCTGTATTTATCCATTCTGCCAATCCACTTATTCCCTGCACATAACTTAGATATCTACTGTAAAGCATACAAATCTACTAGCTCTCAAGACCCTCTCATTCATAAGATATTACATTTCTCTGTTCAGTCAGCTTTCCTGACGTTCTATAAATTTAAATATTGAAAACAATGAATGATGCTCAATTGAATCCCTAGTAATTTTTGTCTTTAAACTTTTTGAAAACCAAAGCAAGGGAGCTATGATACCATGGGTTATCTCCTTCTGGATAGATTTGCTCAGTTTTGGTGCTAATTCATGGAGGTATAAGGCAAAGCCATTTGCTACCACCTGGTGTCTATATTAACATGGACATTTTGTCTATTGACTGAGGACTATGCTGTGTCCCTGTTGGCAGCAAATATAGAAACATTAATTCTGGGCAAAGAGAAATGAAAAAAAGTTTAAGTATTGATGACTGAAATTTTAGATTTTTGTTTGTTGTTATTGCTATTCTAAATAGTTTACATTTCATAGTCTTAAGAGCAGAAATTTACATAGATACATGTGACCTTTAGAAGTGTCATGGGCCTGTGGATTGTGTCATATTTCATTGGATGTCAGGCACAATGGACTGCATGGTGACCTTTTATTTTGTATGGTAGCAAAGTAAAAAACATTGCCAATTATAGTCATAAAATATCATGAATTATAAGTGGCAGACATCAGCGATTCTAAAGTGTGAAATAAAGAGTAAGGTGGGTGCAGTGGAACTGCCTGCATTCCTACCTACTGGGAGGATTACCAAATCAAGGCCAGCTTAGGGAATATAGTTTTAAAATATTGTAAAGATACTTGAGTAAAATCTTTCACATCTGCAGTAGGTATAATTCTGCTGTTTCTCTTCATTGAAATATTGTGTTTGTTACCATTAGAAACAAATTGTAATTGTATCCAGCAACACTGAGCTGTCAGGTGCTGGAAGCATTTGTACATGCTCTTGAAGATGTGAGTTGAAGCGTCACAGCAGCACTGTGTAAGAGAGCTGCAGTGTTGAATCCCCATTCTACAGATGGAGAGATTGATTTGTGGAGCTCATAGGAGGTCTATGTTCTAACTAGTAACACTCGGTGATTAGAGTAGGATTCAAATCCAATCTGAGTTCAATCTACTGGGCATTCTCGTGTTATCCAGAGAGGCTGCTCTGAGGAAGGGTGAAGCTTGTGATAGAGCACTCGCCTTGAATGGGACAGCCATGCGCTATATACCTAGCACAGAAAATGAACACCTGAGTAGAGAAATAAGTAAATAAGAAAATTTTAGTTTCTTCTTTTACATCAGAAGGAAATGCACATTGGTGTCTACTTGAGTGTGCCTTTACATAATAATCTGTAATTTCCTAAAATGTCCTCTCAATTTGTAGGAGTTCACTGCACTACGCCTCTGCCCATAATCATCCTAATGTAGTAACACTGCTATTATCCAACGACTGTACCAATATTAATATGAAGGATGATGAAGGCTGCACTCCCCTAATAAAGGTAACTATCGCGAAACACTTTTGGTACAAAATGGATTAGAAATTATCCTTGTTTGGTTTTTGTTGCTGTGATGAAACACTGGCCAAAACCATCTCAGGAAAGGAAAGGTTTATTGGCTTACAGTTCCACATCACAGTCAGTCATGAAGGGAAACCAGGTCAGGAGTTCAATCAGGACCTGAGGCAGGAAATGAAGCAGAGGTCATGGGGGAATGATGCTTTCCCGTGGCTTTTTCCAAGGCTTGCTCAGATATCTTATACTACTCAGAATAACCTTCCCAGTCATGCCACCACCCCTAGGAAGCTGTGCCCTCCCAGATCAACCTCAATCAAGAAAATGCTATACACGCTTCTCAGAGTCCAGTCTGGTGGAGCCAATTCTTCAAGTGAGATTCTTTTTTTCCAGGTGTCTTCAACCTGTGTCAAGTTATCAAAACAAGCAAATGAACAAGCAACCTCCCCCACTACAAAAATGGCCAAACGGTGCTAGTGAAATGCTTTAATATCTAGGTGTGGTGGCACACCTCTGAAACTCTACCACTTGGAAAACTTTGGTGGGGAGGTCATGAATTTAGGAAAGTCTGGTTACTTGAGAGGGATAATATGCATAACCTAAACAATTGGTCTGATCCAAGGGTAACTAGTCAATGGAATTGTTGGAATGCTTATTAAAGTTCTTGATTTCAGTGTCTCTTTCTTTATCCAATACCCACAGGCCGCCCAGCGGGACAATGTAGAATGCATCTCTATTCTCCTCAGGCACGGGGCTGATCCCCACATTGTAGATGCCAATGGCGATGCTGCCCTCCACCACGCCATTTGCAGAGGGAACATACCAGTTGTCAGCAAACTGCTGGAGTATAATGTAGATATTAAAGCCAAAACAGAGGTAAGAATCATTCAACTTCATTCACAATGTACTTCTAGCAATGACTCTCAGATCTCTTTCCACATTCTGAAGCTCAAGCAGTCTCACTCAATCTGTTCAGAGTAAAGCATTTTTTCCAAATCTGTTTTTCATAGTTTTGTAGGTAACTTAAAGGAACTCAGCACAGCACATTTTTTTTCAGATTTGGGCTTTCCTTTAAAATTCAACAAGTAAAGGACTTGGGCCCACACATACTTCACATACACACAAACAATAGAAAAAAATAATTTTAAGATAAATGTCTATAGAAAAAAACAGAAATCTGTTGCAATTAAGAAGTTACTGATGTGACTTGTCTCTCAGAGATGAGGCTAGAGTGGGAAGGTCACAGGCACACAGGTAAATGTGGAAATTTGATCATTGAAGAAAACATGCTGAGAAGACATTTTCGCTTAACTTTTTCAGATGTTACATGTACATAACAAAGGGGCCAAAATGGGACTCTATCTTAGACAAGGAGCAACTCCATTGTAATTAATGACCTAAGCCTGAATCCAGGACGTTCCCCAGTCAAGTTTAGCCAATTGGCTAAACAGTTCCAAACCTGGCCTTATAAGGCTGGAAGACCAGAGTTGCAGGATCTGGCTGCTACTGACTATATGTGTCAGAAAAATCCCACAATGGATGAAACTGTTACTAATTCTGTCCAATCAACATGCCCCCTATGTAACTGCTCCCTGACTGCCCAATTATTGAAAAAATATTTAAAAGACTAAAAAGATAGAATTCCCCACGCCCACTTTAAAAGGGCCTGTATGTCTTTGTGTGTGGTCCTCATTATCACTTTATATGGGTGATGGACTGTTGCATGCTGGCTATTTCTGAAGAATAAGCACTCTTTGTGTTTACATACCATTTGAGTCTGAGGTCTTCCTCCAGCATCTTTTGGACCACTACAACAGGAAACGATGTTTGGTTTGGGAGAAAATTTTTAGGTTAGGGAAAATAGTTTTGAAAAACAGGTTGAGAAACTGCTCCAGAGATGCCACTTGGGTTCACTCATTCAACAGAGGCATACCAAATCCATGTTTTAGGATTGGGGCAATTGAGCTCTCTATGGAGCTAAGAAACTTGGAACCAGCAAGCGTTTGTGGGAAGTTCTGGAAATAGTGGTGTTCACGGGCATTGTTGGACAGGGAAAGATGTTTCAAAGGAAAGGGAAGCCCTGTGTGTGTGAATCTGCAGCAAGGGCTGAAGGAAAATCTATCCTTTTGTGACTCATTTTGTTTTCAAAATCTGTGATACATTTTTCATTTGAAAAGCATGTCAATTTATAAAATGAAATTTTTC